CTGTTGACGATAATGTTGGATTTTATGTTGATAATAATGGTGCCGATGACGGTCGTAAGTACGATATCGATGTTTGTGATGTTGACGTGTTGTTTATGATAAGAATAATTATGATCGTGTGATGATGAACATGACAAAGGTTATGATCGTGGTGATGCTGTCGGGTTGATGGGCGATGTTGTTGACCACGATGGTTGTGGGTAATGATACCGGTGTGGTCCTGATGACAGAGGCTAGGACGGTGATTCAGGCTGCGATGTTGTTGTTGACTATTGAGATGTTGTTGTTGTGGTGGTGATAATGATGATGAATCTCCTACCTGCGCCCGTCTCAGCCGCCGCCGCCGCCGCCATGGCCTCGCACTGGAGCCGCACGAAGCGCTTCCGATTCTAGGGCCAGGCCTCGGGGCCCTCCCCCTACGAGTCACGCCCACAGCAGGTCAGGCCACGCCCATATCAGATTAAGCCGCGCCCATCTTAGGCCCGGTCACGCCTACATTAGGACAGACCACGCCGAAAGTAGGGATCAGGCTATGCCCACAGCAGGCCAGGCCACACCCACCGTAGGTCAGGCCACGCCTACCGATGAGTAGCCACGCCCGCAGAAGACAAAACCAAAGCCTCACTTGAACAAAATAATATCAACGCCGAATAAAAGCCTCGACTAAAAAAGTCCACCGGACCCAATGGCTGCGCCAAAATAAATACTCACAATGCCCACCCATCGAGGCGACGTGAACGACTGCCCAGCCAACCAATTGGAATTGCCAATAGCGAGGCCCCGGCCACATCACACAGACCAATAGTGAATTTCCCCAAGTTCCCCAGACCGCGCCTACCAAAGGCCGAGAGGCCACACGCCAAACCGCCCAATAGCTACTGCCCCACAGCAGCCCACATCGCACGCCCCACCACACCACCCACCGAGAGTTCCTCATCCGACCTGGGGCGAGAAGTCCAACAGCAGGCGAGACCTTCCCCCTGCCACCGAGCCACGTCAACAGCGCGACCTAGCCAAATCTCACTGAGATTCGTACGTATGTAACGTGTATCGAGTCGTGCGTGTTAACAATAATACGGTAACCGCCAGGCGGCTGAAACACAGCAAGTTGGCACGGTGCAGCTAGTGGTGCATCTACCTGTCATCTCAGTCAGCCAACCCATGGCACCTGCTGGGTCTGTCCTGATACCTCCTCCTGCACCTAGCCTGGCACAGTAGGGGTTACAGCTGGTGATGCATCTACCTGTCATCTCAGTCAGCCAACCCATGGCACCTGCTGGGTCTGTCCCGAGACCTCCTCCTGCACCTAGCCTGGCACAGTAGGGGTTACAGCTGGTGGTGCATCTACAGTGTGTACACACAGTGTACACACCCGTCACGCCCTCTGTACATTAACCACATCAATATAATCAAGAGCGTCGTTGTAGAGAATAAACAAAATATTCCTGAATATATCCGTTTCCACGTAAAAAATAAAGTATTGCTGAAAGAATTCATCGGCCGCACAGCCTTTCGAGTGTGCATCATTTCAGCAGCACTCATTCAAGACCAGCAAATGAGACCGGTTTCCACATACAATATCTCATCAGCAAGAGCCAAGGCTTGATTGAATCAATGCCGCTGAGATTATGCACTTCCAGAAGACCGTGCTTGCTGCTGATGGGTTGTGTATAAAATACTTATGGTGTGGGGAGATCTGTATTTCGATGGTTAGACATTGAATTACAGATCTGAAATCGGTCTGCCACATATGCCCCAAGTTGAACACTTCTTCCTCTTTCATTTCTCCAAAGTTGTTCGTATGTTTATATTAATTTAATTTCAAAAATTGTACATACGAATAAGACAATGCGGATTTATGGTGTTACATTCGCTTCATACTCGGTCAACAAAACCTTAAAAATGTATCCGGGGGCCGGTCAACCATGCGGGCGGCAGTGACACAGTGGAATCTTTTGCTTCCACGGCAGGTCACCTGGGTTCGACTCCAGACTTGAGAGCGACCTTCTGTACGGAGTTGGTATTTCTCTCGCCCCTGTTCTACATGGGGTTCCTTCTCCTGAATCTACCTTAAAACATATCGTTACATTATCCTCCCCCCCACCCACCCACTCCCACCAATCCTATAGAAGTCTTCATTGCAACCTGTGCATGGAACTCAAAACTGTCGTCCCTGGATATCTTCATCCAAAAAGTCCTCGTGAAGAACTCTGTCAATTACCTGAAGGATCACTTACCTCCGCTAACTCGCTCCCGTAGCCTCATAAGTGTCTCCTTATTCCGACCAAAATAAAAATCAATTTGGTAAAACAAACAAAAATACGCCGCTCAACTGCAGCTTGGTTCATCTTCTTTGGTTCTTTCGGTAAAGTCACGTAGAATGAGAATAAAATAATAAATTGATAAAATAAAATAACGCAATAAAATTCTCACGACGTTTCGGCCACAACACAAGCGGCCTTCATCAGGTGAAGGGACGAGACTGTCTTTATGTCCCTGTTAGATCAAAACAACGCTTATTTTACACATATACCTAACTTTTTTTCTGGTGCCTCTTGCCATCACATTATATCTACGCTGTGTTTTTTTTAACCTGAGCGCTTCGTTTTCGAGCGTTAAATACCGTACCTCGATTGCTAACTTGTGCAATATTAATTAACGACCCTATCTAACTCCTCTACAATATTGTTTCGTTTGTTTTTGTTGTTACTGCTGCTGCTGTAAAGTAACCGGGCAACTGACTAAACGGCATGATCCGTGTAGCAATAAACAAATATTAAAAAAAAAAACCTGTCTCCGTGTCTGTGTTTTGTCTCTCTCTCAAATTTAGTTCTACCTATATACTTAGTTCTTTCGGTAAAGTCACGTTGAAGGGAAACAACAAAATAATAAAATATATATAAAACAATAAAAATTCTCACGACGTTTCGACCATAACATAAACGGTCGAAACGTCGTGAGAATTTTTATTGTTTTATGTATATTTTATTATTTTGTTGTTTCCCTTCAACGTGACTTTACCGAAAGAACTAAGAATATGAATTACTGCAGTCACGAAAGCTTTAAATAAAAATTTAGTTCTACCTGATGACGGTTGCTTGTGTTGCAATCGAAACGGCGTATTCTATTATTTAATTTATTTTCTTTCTTACGTGACTTTACCGAAATAACCAAAGAGTAATTCCTGCAGTCACGAAAGCTTCAAATCAAGTTAGAACCTCAAAACTAATTAAACCAAGACACAACACTTTTCACAATCTTTAAAAGCTTTACGAAACGCGGTCTGTCTGTGTCCCTCTCGTCTTGCCGTAAGCGATCGATTTACGCACGCGCGGCAATGACGTCGACGATCATCCCACTCTTCTCCCCCGACGCTCCCGTGGTCGTGACGTCGCCGCAAAGATAACGCCGAATGACGTCGTCCAGTACAACCCGACGCCGCGGTGACGTCACCGATCAGCTGAACAGGAGGGCCTTCTGCCTCCCGGTAAATGGCGGCAGCGGCAACGTCGTGGGATCGGCGTTTAGCGACTTCGGCACTGGTTGCTGCCGCTGCTCCACCTCTTAACCTCGCGCGAAGGCGGCGGGGAGGTGGGGAAGGGGGGGTCTTACACCGCGCCGAGTCTCCCGGGGAAGAGAGAGAGAGAGAGACACGGGGACCCTCGTGGCTCAGCCGAAGCCGGACGAAAGGTGCTGCTGGTTCTTCCTCAGCCAGGGCGTTGCTAATGGTATCGAACTGATGGTTGCTGTACGGGCAGCAATGCACTTTAGCGGCCACGCAACGGTCGCTGCTGTCATTGATGCTATGTTTGAGTTGTTTTACAGATGCACGAATGTGGACCGGTTTAGTCTTCAGGACTATTTCAGTATTAGTGACCAGTGCTCACAGCAGTGGACGTTGGTGTCTCTGCTTGGTAGATGAACCAACTTATTCAGCCCACGTTAAAATTCCGGCCAAGAGTTGACTGAAGTCCATTATAACTCCTCGGTTGACACAAACACGTGCCACATCTAAGTGATCAGTGGTTGTCATTTCATGTATTGAACGCCAGTTTCTAATCCTCACCACGCATGGCCTGGCCAGGTGTGAAGTTTGTGTCGAACTAACTCGTCTCCAAAGTGAAGTTTGATTTAACATTGATTCACCTTTGATATGCTCCATTTTCAATTCCTCGTGATTCAGAATGAAAGTTTTTTTGTTGTTGTTTTAATTCTGTCATTTTGGTGACCGAGGTAACTTGCAATTGAGTCTGTCCTGGTCTCTTGAATGTTCCCCTGGTTAGACACAATAAACCCGGACTTGACGTCGACACGAAAAGCAGCTTTTAGTTTCCCGAGGGTATAAAAAAAACCCCAACATTTTTCGCCTGTTGACCCCGTAACCTTTTCACTTGGCACTTGGATCTTCCTTAAATCGATTCGACATACTTAAAGCGACGTAAGTTTTGCTCGTGTGAAAAGACCCAACAAGTATGATGCTGTGATTCAAGCTTGTCCCATCCTAGCCTCCTCTGTATACAGCCGTACAGCCCATACCGAGAGACGGAAACATTGATTGGAGAACATATGCAAATTAGAGGCATCATTGACTGTTGAGAAAAGTAAGTAGTCGCCTTGGGTACGATGCATCACTCTTAGAGATTATGTCCGATGGATAAGACTGGTGATGGCATGTTAAAAGGGTGCATGCACCCAAGAATAGGATGTGTTTATGTTCAGGAGTAAAATGGTGATCACAGGACCATGAGGAATGGCGATGGTCTGGGGAGATCTTCATCCAGCAGTGGGTCGACAATCGATGACGATACAGACCTCAAATCGGTCTGCCACATATGCCTCAAGTTGAATACTTCCTATTTTATTCGTCCATGGTGTTCGTATGTTTATAGTCATAACGTTGTTTTTTTTTACCCATTTCAGTGGTCGTTGCAGGCTTGAAGATTTGACAGTGGAAGACCGCAGGACCTCCTGTTAGCACCGCACGCTGCAAGGGTGGAACAATGCAGGAGAAAAGGAACATTCGCGTGATCGAGTGGGCGGACCTGGACAAGCGCAAGTTCTACTCCCTGGGCGTGTTCATGATGCTGAGCGTGCGGGCCACGGTCTACCCCTTCACGCTCATCCGCACGAGGCTGCAGGTAGGGTCCCTTTTAGTGTCCAGCAGCATGCCAATTCAGCAATATCAGTCATGTGTATTATACAGGGTGTCCAAAAAGTCTCTATCTATTTTATTGAACTCACGGTATATAAATGGGGTTTTTTTTCAAGACCATATGAATGTGTATATACAAGAACGTGTGATGGTAATAAGACTTTTCATAAGATGGGGCTCCTTGTCATTATACAAACATGATTCGGGAGCACATTAACGAACGTTTTCCACATTTCTGGATTGGACGCAGCGGCAACAACGCCCCAAACGGCTCCGTCTCCGGATTTAACACCTTGGGATGTCTTTGTATGGGGCCTCATCAAGTCAGAGGTGTATCAAACGAGAGTTACAGATATGCAAGATTTACTAGATTGTAGCAGTTACAAAAATAACTCCACAGATGCTGTAATGCAGCTGACGGATTTGGGCTGTGCAGAAATATTGAGAATGCTCATGTAGAATCTAATGCTTAACAGTTATTAATACATATACCTCTGATTATATCATTGTGTAATTTACCCTGAATTGCTTTGATTTCAATAAAATATATTTGGATTTTATGGACACCCTGTATTCAAGTATTATTTTGTTTCATTTGGTATTTTTATGTTACCACTGTGGTAGCAATGTGGGCGTGTCTGTTAAGATGATGAACACATGGTGGCATGTCAACACGTGTGAACATCTGATGTGTGAATGAGTGGTGACATTTGAACACTTGCGAAAACGTGATGATGCATGGTCGTCTGGAAACTGACTGTGGCGGCATGTGAGCCGAGAATGATTTGTGAGTTAATGTGGTGTGTGGCCATACGGTTGCATATGAGCAGTGTGAATGTGTTGTGTATCATGTGAGCGTCTGGTGTGTGAGCACATGCGAACAGTTTTGTAGATGTCAGGTATATGAACATGGAAGCCCATGAATGGCGTGTGAATGAATGTGAATGTCTGGTGTGTGAACCCATTATTGAATGTGAATAGGATGTGAATGTTACAACATATACATTTTTGGTGATTGCGAATGGATGGTAATCTGTAAACACCTGGAAATGTATTGTGTCAACTCGTAATTGGATATGAATATGTTGTTCAGGTGCAGCGAGGCAGGAGTCAGTACCGCGGTACGGCAGACGCCTTCATCAAGATCCTGCAGAGGGAGGGAGTGCTGGGTCTCTATCGGGGCTTCGCTGTGAACGCATTAACTCTGGTGTCAGGACAGTTCTACATCACGACCTATGAACTCGTGCGAGACCAAGCCAGCAGGCTGGGAGCTGACAACACATTGAAGTACGCAGCCCCTGTGGGAAGCTTTTCTTTATTTCCTACACCTTAAGTAAGATTTATACATTTCTAACACAGTTGTTAGTCTCACACACCTGATGATTCCGTCCTTGTACTTTTCACGATAATTTAGAGTCCTCTTGTCAATGCACTGTTGGATAAGGATCTCCCTTTGCTGTGTGAGTCGTGGGGATTATTCGACCATGTGTCACCACGCTGGTCACTGTAGGTTGGTGAATGTGGTGAGCATATACAGAGCATATGAGAGTACCAAAAGCATTTTTCTGTACTGCCCTCTGCTGCCCATTATATGGCCGTGCAGCATTTGTTTGCATCTATATTATGCATAGTAGTCTTTCCTCCAAACAGGATCCAGGCTGAATCTTGTTTATCATCCAAGATCTGACGAAATCGGGCGTATTCTGGATGATCTAGTCATAGGCAATCCAACAGCACTACTTTCAAATGCTCGATTATAGATGCACGCTTCCGTTGGCACACCAGCCTCACCGCCGGTATTCCCTTCAGGTCAGTGGCAGGTGGCGGGGTGGCTTCACTGGTGGCGCAGAGCATCACGGTGCCCATCGATGTCGTGTCACAGCACCTCATGATGCAGGGCCAGGCCGGGGAGGGTGGCGGCCGCTTCAAAGTGCAGGACCATCCCAAGCGGGGTCTGAACGCCCACGCGGCCCAGGTGGGCACCAATCCGACGGAGGGCAAACGGGGGCGCCCGTCCTTCGGGCAAGCCAGGGACATTGTGAGGCAGATTCGGCAGGTGGACGGCATGCGAGGGTTCTACAGGGGCTACCTGGCCTCACTGCTCACCTACATCCCCAGCAGCGCCGTCTGGTGGCCCTTCTACCACTTATATGCCGGTGAGTTGGTGCTGTACACCTGATACTTTTAAAAAGATGATTGTCTACATCGTTGCATTGCAGTGTCTTGGAGTGTGCTTGTGAAACTTGGTTTGACCAGTCGATTTCAGTTTTGCTGTCCCAACTTAAACCACTTCCCACGTTGCTGTGCAGAGCAGCTCTCTAGTATGGCCCCCAGCAACTGTCCTCACCTGGTCCTCCAAGCAGTCGCTGGTCCCATGGCGTCCGTCACAGCCTCCGTGCTGACAAACCCCATGGACGTTATTCGGACTCGTTTGCAGGTGAGCCCGGATGGAATTCCGTTTTGTATTGCACTTAAAAAGTAACTTTCAGTCAGGGTATTTTTCCACGCTCCGGCATAGATTTTATACGCTCTTAAAATAGTGTTCTCGTCACATGAATCGTATACATTTTTTACATGTTTCGTGAATGATGCTACAAAATAATCTCACCATATTTGCGAGCCCAGTTAAATCACAGGTGGTCAACACCTAAATTCAAATTCTCTGGCGCTGGCATAGTGCTTCACAGCCATTATTAACTTAAGTTGCAGTCAGAAACAATGTGTTGTTACACGCACACCGTGCGTTGCTTATACTTTGTGTGCTACCGGCTTTGCAGGTGGAGGGCCGTTCTTCCATCTTGGAAGCATTGCGGCAGTTGTGGGCACAGGAGGGCATGTGGGGCTTCACCAAGGGCCTGTCGGCGCGCATCGCGTCCTCTGCGCCCACGTCAATGCTTGTCGTCCTGGGATACGAGACTCTGAAGCGCCTTAGCCTGAGGACTGAGCTGGTCCACACGCGGCATTGGTAGCGATGGTATCCGTCGGCTCGGCGCTTTCGTTCGATTTCCAGCAGCTCGTGTGGGCTTCTAGGAGACATTGGCGGCTCTCGCAAGTGAAAGCTACGTGGCCGTTGGTGCAATTGAGGCTAGGTTTGCAGACAAGCATTCATCTGTTCTGCAAAAGGTTTTGTTTTTATTGCCCGTGAATCTGCTAAATAGTTATGAATCGCAAAGCGAAATGTATTTTGCGGAAATCTTTGGATCGGTAGGAAGTGGACTTTACCGTATGTGAGTAGCAATGATGTCCTTTGTCTTCACCGACTCTTGAATTTGTTAAAGCACTGATGTGACTGCATAAGTAATCAAAGGTTAATGGTTCTGCTGGGCAACCACTGGCGGTAACAGAAGACGGACATGATTTGACACCAACATCGACAACAGAGCGGGAAGGAAAATGGGTGTAAATAATTTTTAATTTATAAAAACTTAATGTGTTTTATGAAATTGATTTGCGCTTTCATTGCCGATTGATGGAACATGGTATTAATATTGTGGGTCCAAAGTGCAGTGCAGTTTGGTGACACTTATTATTGATATTATTTTTAAAAGCTGTATATTTCAGTCGGGTAACTTGTAACAATTTTACTAAATAAGATCGCTGCTTGAAAGTTATTAAAAATGGTACATTTTGTGAGAATGTAGTGCTCCATTTTTATTTCGATGGGTTAAACTTGAATTGTGACCCTGCTTTCATGTCGCTGATGTAGATTCAGAGCAACAACTACAATTTGACATTAAGGTGGTGAAGCCAGATTACCGCATCAGGATTATCGGAGTGTATCGCTGTGATGTCTCCTTGGTATTTGTCGATCGGGCATTACTTTGTTGTTATATGTTGTATGGTCTGTTTTGGACGACCACAGTCACACGCTGAAGAGTTTTTAATTTTCCATTTGTGCATCGGGTATCTGCATCTGCTATGGTTTTTGCGGATGCGGTTTAGAGTGGACCATGAACTTCGTGTAAGATCAAACCCCAGGGTTCTTTGCGTTGGGTCTTTCACAAGGTGTTTGTGAGTTATTTTGAACTCCATTCAGCTCTGCAAGCTTCATTGCAGTTGAACTTGTGACTGCAAGCTGCATACACGGTGGATCAGTTAACCTTGAATGTCACAGCAGCCTATCCATTGAACACCTCTGAGGTGGCGTTGCAAAAACAGCATTATTGTATTAACGGTGTGTGGTGAAAGACAGTGCTCAGTTATGCTGTTGAAATGCTGGGTGTTTTATGTGATTGAAAACTCTTGTATCCCTAATGGCAATCAACTATTACTCTTAATTATCCAAGTACTGTAACAACTCATCGATACATCGATAAAAATGTTAACACCATATACGCAATGAATCATACAATGGGATTACTTGCGATTTAAAATTGTAAGTTAAAATTGTAATGCAAATGAAAAGACTAACATTTTGGCAAATGGAATGTAAAAAATAAAAGGCAAAAACAATGTTTGCTATAAATTTCAATCCCAAGTTATATGACCGTTGATTTGATCGTTTTTAGGAATGGAACGGGGGTGCAGTGGTGTATCGTGTGTTATTGAGCTCTTGCTGGGGCCACTAATTATCCTTGTGTTAGACAGTCCGTTCACCCCTATACAAGTAACGATCGTTTTGTGGTGTACACACGTCGGCGTACCTCTGCTTCCTGGATGTTCTTGTATGCTCGCATCTCACTGTGTTATGTGGACTATTCTATCAAAACATGCTTGAAATTTTAACTGTCGCTTACTTTTTCTGAGCCGCAAAAGTTGTAACAACATTCACAATAACAGAACAGGACTCTCTGTGAGAGACGCTGAAGATCACAAAACGAGGAAAGCATCTGTCATGAGCGTTGACCCTCAATTATGAGGTTGACACTGGATAGAAAATAGGCGTTGATACAGGCACATTGATAGGCATGAGAAGAGTGGCTGTACTGTAACTCATGCGAGTGCCGATCTCCACAATCAGTGCTGTAACGAATTCCTAAGAGTCGTGCATGTGTGTGAGCATTGTATTGACGGCTGTGTTGACTCGTGTAAATTCAAAACGTGTGTTATTTTGGTACGTTGTGTATGATCAGATAATAAGCAAACGTCGATTTTGTAAAAAAATAAGTTAATTTAATTTCAGTAAATTTGGCGAAAGGGTATTCTGCCCCAATGTTTTTTTTTACCGCTGATGAGCATCATGCATTGCCAGATTGAACAAATTATGCTGGTCAAGAAGTCCCATAGCCTGATGCACTTATAATGTTATTTGGTTATGTGATGAAATAGACCCTTGCATGTTAATTTTTTAAATCAAGTGAGTTGTAATTATGTACAAGTAAATGTTGCAGGCAAACTATTTTCAAACTCTTTGTGTTTTTCGGTAAAGTCACGTAGAAATAAGAAATAATAATAAAATTACATAATAGCATACGACGTTTCGATTTCAACGCCATCAATCATCATCAGGTATAGAAGAGCTAAATTTAGGAGAGAGAGGAAACACAGAACCGCAGATATATATAGACACCTAAGTAGAGGGAGTTAACACAGAGTCGCAAAGAGACAACGTACGGAGCACAGAGAGATCGGGTCTATTTTCAAACTGTCAATACCAACATGCACTAATGATATGTATTATTTGGTACTGGAGTACAGGCAAACGTTTCTTGAAGATTTAACATTAACACGAGATGTGCACTGTCAAAGGCAACCTATTGAACAACTATTAAATTTAAATTAAAGACTAAAAGCCCATTGAGTTGGTGGTTTATGTGAAATGCCGTTGAATTGGCTTGTCGCGTACAGGCAAAACATCCACAATGTCTGCTGGCTTGATAGTGCGTTTTAAACGTGTTACATTTTCCCATTTATGTTCATAAGATAATTTATCAACTGAATAATTCTTAACCTGTAGTTGATGCAGACTTTTTAACCTGGCAAAACAAGTAGAAATTAAAATCTATTATTTTTGTATGATTGGTCAGGGCAGCATGTTCCTTCGATATAATACGTAAAGTCAGTGATGTTTGCTAGTTTAATTAACGCAAGAAATGGGCCAAGGGATCTTTTCGAAGACCCCAGTCAACCTTTGCTCAGTGGGAGGTCACTCATTTATTGCTGCCCACAGTTTGTACCCCCCCCCCCCAGCCATCCGTGCTGTTGACTTCCTGCCACTGTTCAATACCATACTTAAGACCCTCAATTTTTCCTCTGCATATGCCCAACTGCTTCTAAGATAAACATGCTCTGTTTCTGTACAGAATCTTGAGATGAAATTAATGAAATAATTGTATCACTTACAATGGGCAGGTACAGACTCACACCCTCAAAGTACCGCCCAAGTTTGGTGGCCAGGGGGCATCCTATCATTCGCGTGAGGTTTCCCAAGGAACTGTTTTCCTCCCACGTGACAAAAAGAGCTCAATAAGGAATTATCCCAACATCCCAGGGAGGGCCCAGCTGACAATGAGTTGACACTCGTTTTAGACTTGGAGCAGGGCGTGGTTGATAAACGCCACATGCCAACGATTTGGCGTACGGGGCTGGTGGGTCACCAATATGTGGCTATCACAAACCTTTTTATTTCTAACTACGTGACTTTACCGAAAGAACCAAAGAGTATGGATTCCTGCAGTCACGAAAGCTTCAAATCTTAATTATCACAAACCTGCTACTGAAAGTTGGCCAGTAGATGGCAGTACAGCAAGTTCCCGATCTGTTTGTGTAACGGAATCTTAAAAGTTATATCTCATCGTATTCTTGGTGGGTTTCCTCCGGGTACTCTGAAGCGCAAAACAAAATTATTGTCCAAACATCCAAATGCAGGAGCCTGCTGAAAATAAGTATTACGCCTTAAGAAGGCGTTTTATTTATGAATAAATGACATTGTGTAAACAAACATCTTCAAATGCAATATCATCGTTCGAAATTACCGTATTTTCCCGCATATAACCCGTGGGGTATACCACTTTTTACAAACAAAACAAGACCCTACGGGATATATGGAGGTGCGGGCTATCCCAAAAATATTTTACACTTGTGACATGTCATAACTCGTTTAATTTTTTCATGGTAGGACTATCCACTATGCAACACTTACCTTTGACTAAAGCACTGCTGAATAAACCACTCACACTGAAATTGCACATATCACGTTTTAAATTATTCGAATTGTTTGTACAATGAAACGACTGTTTGAAGTGGGCGCACTTTTTCTTCTTTGGTTCTTTCGGTAAAGTCACGTAGAATGAGAATAAATTAATAAAATAAATAACACAATATAATTCTCACGACGTTTCGGCCACAACACAAGTGGCCTTCATCAGGACGAGACTGTCCCGTCACCTGATGAAGGCCACTTGTGTTGTGGCCGAAACGTCGTGAGAATTGTATTGTTATTTTATTAATTTATTATTTTATTCTCATTCTACGTGACTTTACCGAAAGAACCAAATAAGATTAATCCTTGCAGTCACGAAAGCTTTAAATCGAAATTTGGGCGCACTTTGTTTACCGGCGACGGGAGAACTGGGGGGAGGGAGAGGTGGGGGGTTAGGGGGTGGGGCAGCTGGGGTGAGAGAGAGAGGTGGGGGGTTGGGGGCGAGGCAACGGCGTCACCGTAGTACCGCTATTATCTGCACAGTGCGCAATCTACCAGTGCTAAAAGTGTACTTACTTACAGTGAGGGAAAAAAAGTATTTGATCTCCTGCTGATTTTGTACGTTTGCCCAATGACAAATAAATGATCAGTCTATAATTTTAATGGTAGGTTTATTTGAACAGTGAGATAATAACAACAAAATCCATAAAAACGCATGTCAAAACTGTTATAAATTGATTTGCATTTTAATGAGGGAAATAATATTTGACCCCCTCTCAATCAGAAAGATTTCTGGCTCCCAGGTGTCTTTTATACAGGTAACGAGCTGAGATTAGGAGCACACTCTTAAAGGGAGTGCTCCTAATCTCAGCTTGTTAGCTTATAAAAGACACCTGTCCACAGAAGCAATCAATCAATCAATCAGATTCCAAACTCTACACCATGGCCAAGACCAAAGAGCTCTCCAAGGATGTCAGGGACAAGATTGTAGACCTACACAAGGCTGGAATGGGCTACAAGACCATTGCCAAGCAGCTTGGTGAGAAGGTGACAACAGTTGGTGCGATTATTCGCAAATGGAATAAACACAAAATAACTGTCAATCTCCCACGGCCTGGGGCTCCATGCAAGATCTTACCTCGTGGAGTTGTAATGATCATGAGAACGGTGAGGAATCAGCCCAGAACTACACGGGAGGATCTTGTCAATGATCTCAAGGCAGCTAGGACCAGTCACCAAGAAAACAATTGGTAACACACTACGACGTGAAGGACTGAAATTCTGCAGCGCCCGCAAGGTCCCCCTGCTCAAAAAAGCACATATACATGCCCGTCTGAAGTTTGCCAATGAACATCTGAATGATTCATAGGACAACTGGGTGAAAGTGTTGTGGTCAGATGAGACCAAAACGGAGCTCTTTGGCATCAACTCAACTCGCCGTGTTTGGAGGAGGAGGAATGCTGCCTATGACCCCAAGAACACCATCCCCACCGTCAAACATGGAGGTGGAAATAATATGCTTTGGGGGTGTTTTTCTGCTAAGGGGACAGGACAACTTCACCGCATCGAAGGGACGATGGACGGGGCCATGTACCGTCAAATCTTTGGTGAGAACCTTCCCTCAGCCAGGGCATTGAAAATGGGTCGTGGATGCGTATTCCAGCATGACAATGACCCAAAACACACGGCCAAGGCAACAAAGGAGTGGCTCAAGAAGAAGCACATTAAGGTCCTGGAGTGGCCTAGCCAGTCTCCAGACCTTAATCCCATAGAAAATCTGTGGAGGGAGCTGAAGGTTCGAGTTGCCAAACGTCAGCCTCGAAACCTTAATGACTTGGAGAAGATCTGCAAAGAGGAGTGGGACAAAATCCCTCCTGAGATGTGTGCAAACCTGGTGGCCAACTACAAGTAACTTCTGACCTCTGTGATTTCCAAAAAGGGTTTTGCCACCAAGTACTAAGTCATGTTTTGCAGAGGGGTCAAATACTTATTTCCCTCATAAACATGCAAATCAATTTATAACATTTTTGACATGCGTTTTTCTGGATTTTTTGTTGTTGTTATTCTGTCACTCACTATTCAAGTAAACCTACCATTAAAATGATAGACTGATCATTTCTTTGTCAGTGGGAAAACGTACAAAATCAGCAGGGGATCAAATACTTTTTTCCCTCACTGTACTTAACCTGGAATGTAACATTCTACAAACAAACTGAAGGCACCCCAATGGGTTCTCCCTTATCTCTGGTTGTAGCCAATATTTCCATGGAAAAACTTAGAGATGGACGCCATCCAGGCATCCACTCTACGCCGTCCTTGTGGAAGAGGTACGTGGATGACACATTTGTCATCTGGCCACATGGCCAGATCACCATGGAGGTAGAAAAGGATACCATGCTACCTTCCTTGGATGTCCTAATCTTGACTTTAAGGAGCCCATGAGTGAGTTTGGGCTGTACCACCACGCATCATGGGCAGGGTGGGGGAGAGCTGGTGGGGGGTGGAGAAGTAGTTTGGAATGAAGAATGAGCGAATCCAACATTCCATTAACTCTTTGAGCACGAGATTTTGCAAGTTTTGTGAGCACTGGGTTTGATTTAAAACAATAGCAAATAATAGGATTTGATTTGCTAAAGATGTTTACTGATACTTTACACAAAGGAGGATGTTTGGACATAAAAAGGGGCACCTGGCTTCAGTTAAACGGGACTAGGTGTCATGAGTGATTCCAGTTATTATATCAACTTACCCCTCCTGTACTCCTCGCCTTCGACTTCCTCTGCCGCCTCGATTCTGTACTCCACTCATCCCTCTCACCTCTCCAATGACCTATTTTTCCTTTTGTTGGTTCTATCGGTAAAGTCACGTAGATAGAAAACAAAAATCTAATTTAAAGCAAAAAACCCACGACGTTTCGATCGCAACACAAGCGGTCTTCTTCAAGTGGCAGGAAAAAGTAGACCGCTTGTGTTGCCATCGAAACGTCGTGGGATTTTAGATTTCTATCTACGTGACTTTACAGAAAGAACCAAGAATATGAATTCCTGCAGTCACGAAAGTTTTAAGTCTAAACCTATTTTTCTCTTGCACGTTTTCTCCGTGTCACTTAATCCTTCATAGCCTCCCATCTCACCCCTTCTCTCATTCGTTCCTTCATTACCTCCTCTTCCACCTCTTATCTTCTTCCTTTCTTTTTCCTTCTCTCCCTTCCTCCCTCTCTCTTCGCTCCTCGTTCATCACCATTCCCCCATCTATTATCTACACTTATTCTCTATTTCGTTTCCCCTGTTTCCTCCTACCAATTTCATCCTCCTGTATCTCCTCTTCGCTCATCATTCGTCTTACAGCCTCGCATCTGTCCATTGCGAATGCCAGCAGAAAAACACGCGTAATGTCGCACCATAAAATATTATTATTGTATTTGAAGCGTTTTGCTAACACACCAATCATACTACTATTCAACAATCTACGCCTTGAATTTCCCTGGCTGGTTGCTGGCTGGGCTGCTCTTCACCCCAACTCGATTGTTAGTGGCTGATGATACTAAAACTAGCTGGATAACTGGCTAAACGTGATTTTCCGTGAAACATACAAACATTGAATTCGGTGGAAACGGCGGAAGAAGTTCAGAAGACGATGTAATGAATACAAGTACCAAAGAGGTGGGAGTAACGATTACAGAATCCAGTACGGACACAGTTAATTGAAGACCTTTCAATTTTTGCTCCTCTTAACGTAATGATTTCGTCAATATATTCTTTAGATCCGAGAGAAAATAATTGTTTACTTCACAATACATATTATATTGGCAATTTATTTCGTAAAAAAATAAATCCGAGTACAGGATTGTGAGAAGAGTATTTGTGTATGTCAATGTCAGCTGTCCGCTGCAAAGCAAAATATTTTCTACACGCAATCTTAATTATGATTTATTTCTTTAAAAAAAAGCTATATCGATGCTTAAGACCGCTTTCCTGTAGGCTGCTGCATTTGGATGTTTGACCAATTAAATGTTGATTGTTGTTTTGGCACTGTGGAGTACCCGGAGAAAACCCTCCACCATACAATGTGGATGGCACTTTCAGGTCCGCTCCTCAGAACAGATCGGGAACTCACTTGCTCTACTGCCATCTCCTGGCCACCTGTCAGAAGCAGGCTTGTGATGGCCGCAAACCTATTCATGATCCACCAGCCCCGTGCGCTGAATCATCGGCATGCGGCCTGCGTCACCACGCCCTGCTCCAAGTCTTAAACGAGTGTCAACACTGATTGTCATCAGGGTCCTCCTTGCGATGTTCGGATAATTCCTTATTGATCTCTCGTTTTGTTTATGTCACGTGGGAGGAAAACAGTTTCATGAGAAACCCCACGACAATTATGGGGCCGTCCATAAATGATGTCACACGATTTTGGACGATTGTTGACCCCCCTCCCCCCTCGTCACATGGCGTCACAAAAAGTAAGACCCCCCCTCAAATATGACGTCACAAAGCTCTGCCCCCCCCCCAAAATATAAAACATACTTCAAATCGCTTTAAACTATTGTCATTGTAGTGGGTATTTAATGTGCCACTGCACTCTGTTGTAGGAGAAACATTTACCAAAAAGTCTATTTAATTAAGTAGAACGTGTTGTCTATATTAATTAAAAGTTGCGCATTTTGATGTGACGTAACGCGGCTATGGGTCAAGGAGGGGATCGATCTAGAAGCTCCTGGAAGCAGTGAGAGAGTTCCAGAAGTGGGGCGTGGCCAGGGGCGGGGCTTGGCCACGCTAGAGGGATATAAGGGAGAGGCAAATCGTGGTTCGAGGCTGTCGTGGGGGTTCGGGTCCTGGCTGTCGTTGCTGTCATCGCTGCCATCTCTTCGTCTTCGTCGCTGCATAGCCAGGCAGCTTTACAGTCTTTATCGTTGTCGTCGCTATATAGTCAGTCAGCAATGTCGCGTACGACGCCGATGTGGCTGTATGGGTGGCTCAGCTAGAAGTAACTTAGTGCTTATGTTATTCCGTGAACGTGTCCTTAAAGTATCGAGAAATAAATAAGAAACCCTCTCTACAAGTCTCGGAAGTCATATCATTACACATGTACAAATTCGCAATCACAGGAGACAAAGGAGAGCCCATTGCTGCTCCTTCCTTTTGTTTATAAAAGTTACCTTTCCACAGTAAAAAGGTGTTCTTTAGACAATGTTCAGCTAGACTTAAGATATCTTTGCCTAAACCTATGTTTGGTACCAGAGTGTCGAGTAATTTAATTGACTCGTTGACCCGAACCCTCGTGAACAGAGAAGTTACATCAAAGCTTGCGAGAATATCATTAGGGTTAAGCTTAATATCTTTAATAATATTTACGAGATGTTCAGAGATTTTGATGAATGAAGAGGTCCTACCGATGTAGAACTGTATTTGTGTCCTCACGTATTGCGCTAATTTGTATGTGGCACAGCCTATTCTACTATGGGTCTTAATGGGACATCAGGTTTGTGAATTTTTGGTAGCCCATTAAGTCTTGGTGGTTTTGATGCCCTTGGTTTGATCAGGTATTGCTCTTCTTTGGGAATTGATGACTTGGCAATGATTGCCGTTTTACGTTCCAAGGTGTTGATTGGGTCGCGTGTAAATCTTTGATTTTATTATCGTAGTCCTATTCAGATTGTAAATGTTGTGGTTTGGCTCTCCAACACACCGGTGTGCTGTACTCGTGACGAATTGGCATGTTCTGTTCACGTGACAACCCTTACTAGTTGGCTGTGTCGGGTGGTGGCGGGTTTAACGACACATTAAACGATTTACGCGATCTAATCCAAAAAACCTATTATGGATATTGGTCGCAAAAGCCTACGTGTTAAACTGACATGGTTCAGAGGTTTGTGCTTTGAATCTGCAAGACTGCCCTATTGACCTTCCAGACCAATAAAAAACTAAGCGGTGATTATATTAAGGAAAGTATTTGATGATACTCAATTGGCAGTGGTGCTCAAGCACAAATAACGAAAACACCGCAACATATTCGTCAATAACACAAGTTTTTTGCACGCGTACTTCTAGGCAGGATGCAACCACTCCTGACAAAACATTGTCACCTACAGAAATCAAGATGGATGCTGTGCTTGCACTAAGCCTGCTTGCAGAACCGCACCGTGACGTTAACTACCTCGCATGGTGTACAGGAGGTTGTGGGTTCGATCCCGACCCTGATGCCTGGTGTATATTTGGAGTTTACATGTTCTTCCCGCGCTCGTGTGGATTTTTCTCCGGCTCCGGGTTTTCCCCTCCACATTTAGAAACATGCATTCATAGTATTTGGCTGCTATAAATTTTCACGTGATAAGCCACTTCTTTGACCTGTAACTTTTGGCCAGGTTGCTTCTGAAAAAGAGCTATATAGCTTAGTGGTAAAATTTTATATAGTTTAATTTACATTTATTTGAAGATGGCTTTTGACTCTGTGGATCAACCTGCTCTCTGATTTACCTTGAGGGATTTGGATCCCTGGCATCCTGGTGGACATTGTGACAGATTTAAATGCAGGGACATGCACAAGGGTCCGTGTCGGGTCCGGACTTTCACCACAACTCCAAACCACATCTGGAGTACGTCAATTGTGTCTTTGTACCAGCGCTCTTCTGTTGGATGATTGACTAGGTCTTTGACAACATTACCCACTACCTTGGAGTCAGGATTGGCCGGCACCATTTTACTGACCTCAAATACACTGATGATGCAGCTCAGTTTGTTGAAAAGCCTAAAACATTCACACCATGCTTCCAAAATTTACACAAAAATGTGAACAAAAATGATTCATGGCAAAAAACAGAAGTTACAACTTGAGTTTCAGTCCTAAAAAAGTACCCTGTATAATCAAAGACAACACTGTCAAAGAAGTGGAGAAATTGGTGTCACTGGGTTCTGCACAGAGCCCTGATGGATGATGTAGACCTGATGTCACATGCCGAATCGGCTTAGCCTCAGGCGGAGTGACAGTTTGAACCGGATTTAGTCTCAGAAATGATTAAGTCTGAGCACGAACTTGAGGGTCTACCTATGCTGTCTCGTCAGCTTCGTTGTGTGGTGCAGAGGCCTGGACATTGCTTCAATTCTGATTTGGATCAGCTGCAGTCCTTCCACATGCGATGTCAAAGACAGCTTCTTGACATCTTCATGTGGAATTTCACCATTGCATCTACGACCGGTCTACAAGCGATTGAGAGCTTAGTACGAAGGTGATGGCCGTCACTTTTTGGAAACGTCGCCTGTCTTGATGCGCACTCTCCAGCAAATTGCGCACTTCAGTTGGCGGTCGACGTTCGAAGTGGAATGCGACCCTCTAAAGAATGGGGCCACTTCCATGGTCGCCCCACCCCGTGATCTTTGGATCAAACAAATCACTGGAGACATCGGCATGGCAGCAAAAGCAGCTTATGCGAATGCTTGTCGCAAGAGACCACACGACATTTGGCGCAACGGCCCTTCACTGACTATGCGTGATGAATGAATGATTCACTGTGCAAACTGATCTACATTCCTCAATCACTTTGTGCTATGGATAAAAACTCAATTGGGAGGTTTCGTCTGGTAAAGGGGGCTAAAGTTTCACATTCGCCCGTGTCTGCTGAGGGAGCGTGGGCGTTGTATTTAATGTGGAGTGTGTCTGCTGGAGGCACAGCCTTGGCGTCACAAAAGAATACGTCAAACACAGCCAATTCTCAATAAATAAATCAAGCTTCATTTCATATATCGCACTTCACAAGAAACCCGTTGCAGAGCACTTCAACATGTAAACATAGCATGACATCGCAAACATTTTATATATACAAAATAGTAAAAATTATATAATCATTAATTGGTCCAAACTACTAAGAAAACGACGATCATGTTATTTTGCTGGTGCTTATTGCCTTCATGACGCCATTTTCCCAGATTTCAACATCCAAAAGTGGGTCAACAGCCAGCTCGTACTGTCTACTAATAATGTATTGTATACGAATATCTCCAATTAGCACACTTGACTACATACGGTGCGAAAGCAGTTCAACATACATAATGCAATACTGCATTCTAATACTATGCTCAATATTACTGCTTAGGGCGTTCGTGCCTCTGCAGGTGCAGCCTCTGCAGATGTTTCGTTGCGCCCGCTTTTATTCGCATCCAGAGGCCTTTCTTCTGGCTCTGCCCTGCAACAGGCTCCTGTGCCGCCTCCTGCTCCACACACCTGCCCTTAATCAACTCCACCCGATACTCGGGTATGATGATCTCCACAATCCGCTCTTTGCCAATGCGCACAAACTCCAGCGTTATTGTCTTCTGCTGCTGTTGTTCTGGCTGTTGTTGTTGCAGCTGCTGCAAATAATTATGGTGCTCCTGCATGTCTATTCTCAGCCGCTCCTCCTGCTCCTGGTCTGCATGCGTGTTCTTTTGCAGTACTACGTGGCTGTGCAGCGATGACCCAACATTCAGCGTGTGCAGCGTCCTTGCGGAGACTGTGTGATACAGTGGGGAGGGATTAAATAGAAGACAGCAGTCAATATTGGAAACACAGGCACATAGCGTTCACTGCAGCAATGGTCAAAAAACCTTTTTATCAAAGTTGGAATTTTCTTTCGGAAGGTTACCGAAATCCTGCCCGACTCTGCTCAATGGATCCACCATGAAGCACTTTGATCAATTAATGCTGCTATGCTCATGCCAGCCATCCTCTGTCATTTATTTACTTCCTTGCCACTAATTTATAGGTATTACTACAGCCATAGTTCTTATAAATATCCTGTATTGATACCTCTGCTAATGTCAAGTACTCAATTGACAAAGGTTGACCTTTGCTGACCTCTACCATGTTCACCCATCATTAGAGAATTACACATTAATCTTCCTCCTTTCTGTCCGCACACTGCTTGACTTTAAAACTCTCTTCCAGTTCTCATAACCTTGTTTATTATCATATAACCTTGCTTATTATCGTAAATAATAAGCAACTTACAGCCCGCTAGCAATCCATTGCTTCAAAAAGGCCTCCTCATGCCATATCAGTCGTGGGAGTTGTTATACCATGCCAGCCACCACAGATTGGTGAAGGAGGTAGGCCATAACCTGTTTTGACATCACCCGCCAGAGATGTTAGCTGTGGCTGAGACTCAAACGCCGGTCACAGGATCATAGCATCACTGTGCCACTGCTCTGTAATATAATTGGTACCAACGTCATTATTTCTGGCTCACCCCTGCTCCGAGTTGGCAATGTCATATGCTGCTTACCCTTCAGCTGCAGGTCGCAGGACTGTCTGCGCTGTGGACGCGCACTCGCTTTGATCGCCAGGCTAGCATGCAGAGCAGTGGCGGTGGTGCTCCTCGCGTTTGCGATGCAATTTTTCATGCTGCGGATACAAGAAACAAAAACCGGGCAGAATGTCAAAAGGCTGCATTTTGCAATAGAATGGAGATGGGCGAGTAGCTCATCTTAAACAACGAGCCAAGCAGCTGCTTGGACTGGCCCACCCACTGAACCTAACCAATTTGCCAACTATATACAGATGAGAGCCCTCCCAATGACCATATTTTCAACCCCACCCATACATCTGGCAATTGATTATGCCCACTTTTCAATAAATGCTGATTTTCAGATCATGGTAGTCATGGTGCACCAGGAGCAAGGGTGAATTTTCTGGGCTGGAAAATGAAAAGAAAACGATTCCATTAATGGTAAAAAAGAAAGATATGTATTGAACCTCCGCTGGGTAGTGCTACGACTAATTTATATTTCAATACACTATACAGGTGAGCATTGAAATTACATGCACGAGTTACTGCGTAAATGAAATAAATATATAAAAGCATCGTGAAGTTGAGGTGAAAATCACCAGTGAAGTCATCTCAAATCACAAGCCAATTCTGGATGGTACAATCCAATGGTACTCCTCTGTCAGTGTCATGCATTATACGTACGATATCAATGGGATGAGGTTGCGAAAGACTGTGATGGATATAACACGACCAATATTCGCTGCTTCCAACAAATCAGAGACGAGTGTGCTTGTGTAGCCCAGCATTCGGCAACTCTCCACCTTGAACAACACGTCTCCTGTAGGGTGGAACAGACACAACGTTCATCTGCTGTTAGCTCGTGTTTGTGCATGTGTGTACGTGTGTCTGTTTGAATCTGTACTCTTTGGTTCTATTGGGTAAAGTCACGTAGCTGAAAATAAAATACGTGACTTTACCCAATAGAACCAAAGAGTATGGATCCTAGCAGTCACGAAAGCTTTAAATCTAGAATTGTTTGAATCTGCCCCATGACCTGTCAGCGTGCCTTTGACACTTCACGTGGCTTCGAAATATATGTAGACTCACACAACTACCGTGGTGACATTTCCACAATCTCGTGGAAGATCATGCTTTACCCTAAATTGCATCCGCATAAACCAAGGTAGATGCGGATACCTGATGCACAAATGGAAAATTAAAAACTTTCCAATGTGTGACTGTGGTTATCCAGAACAGACCATAAAACATATAATGACACAATGTCCGATCCACAATTACGAAGCAGCGATACACTTTGCTGCTCCTGATATGGTAATTTGGCTTGGCCACCTGAATGAAAAAAGCATTGGGGAGATAAAGGTGGCTGGGGAAGTGCTCGCCACGACACTGTATGACCTTTCATAGGTGCCCATTTAGAACTTGCCCCATCGGTCTCTGAGCTGGAATTCACCAGAATAATTTGAACATCAAACGTAACATGATGTTACCAATCTTGTCATTGGTGACTGAGCTGAGACCAAATCAGTTTTACTCGCAGGCAGCTGAAACCCAGATTAAAAAACCAGGATATTAATGCTTCCAGCTCCGTGACCTCTGATCGATCCAGCTATGTCTGATATAGTGTTGTTGTTTTTTTAAAACATGATAAACCCAATGGCCATCCCTGCACCCCATATTATAGTGTTTTGCCCGTGCATATGTTTGCAGTGTCTCACCTGGCTGAAGTTTTCCTCTTAGATGAGCATAACTTCCTGGAGCAAGGGCAACCAGTTGCACATAATCTCCATGCTGTACAAATTCCAGCCAATAGCCAACATATCGCTCCCTCATTATTGTTGCTCGAACAGTCTTGGCATACGTGGGCTCCAGTTCTAAGCTGTGCTTGACACCTTCACCTGGAGAGGGGAGGAGAGAGTAGGAAAGAGATATAGTTAGCAATAGAAGTAGTGATCAGCATGATTAAAACTGTTGTTTGTGTTGAGGTTTTTTTTTTCATACAATTCATCAAAATAGCATTGCTGAGAATGAGAAATGTTTGGTCGAACTGATTTCGTGCTAAATGAGCACTGAGGCAGTGCCCATTTTCTGAATTAAGCAGCATTTATTTTCGTGCAAACCACGTGTGCATCGCTAGCCTTCAACCTTCGAGGTTACTGAGGCTCTCCATATCTGACTTTGACTTCACTGCGGAATACAATTGTGTATCATCATCATCATGCTAATGGCACTTGATGTCACGGGACCAGATGACATCGGCAATCGGCGACATCTATGTTGAAAACAGGAAGGGGCCAAGGACGGACCCCTGTGGAACGCCAACTCGGCATAGACGTGAGAGGTGGCAGCTTCGTGGGCAGGCCATTATCCAGCAGTGGATTGATAATGGCTAATAATGATGATGGTGGGGGTGAATCTTTCCATAGGACAACCACTGTTAACATCTCCATGCAGTGATACTGATTTTATTGACCTCGGAAGCATGATGCGTTGTCAACCCCAAACCAAGGTTTCAACTCACAATGTGATTACGAGCTGCTCATTCTGAGCCATCTGGACGGTAGTTTTGATTTACATTTTATAAATAGTTTTTGCCGGGCAACTAAAATGTGTCTGCTTAGCGTGTATACAAAAGTCTATCGATGTGACATCAGAAGCACCTTTGTGACATCATCCTGAACTATCATCTGGAGCACGGTGGTGCACTGCTTACAGTGACAATTCACAGAAATGGCCTTCTGATGTCATGCCAATAGCAAATAATAACAATGTATCACCCATAACACCAACAAAACCACTGTTATCATCCACAAATCCCATGAACACATCACTTGGAACGCGCCCGATGTCATCACATGTCAAAATATAGGCAGAGTTAGGTCTGAACAAAGCTGGGATGGGCAACCACTCTGATTAAACAACCCACGAGGTGTATGTCGGTGGTCCTCATCCAGCAGTAGATAAAGAGATACAAATTGTTACAGAATAACTGCTATCCTTGGCCCTATTATTAGCAACTCCTATTAAATTTTGATTTAAAGCTTTCGTGACTGTAGGGATTCATATTCTTGGTTCTTTTGGTAAAGTCACGTAGAAGGGAAACAATAAAATAATAATATAAAACAATAAACCACAGCAAGAACAATTTCCAATTTTTCTTGCTGTGGTTTTCACACCTGATGATGATTGCTTGTGTTGCAGTCGAAACGTCGTGAGAATTTTTTTGTTTTATATATTTTGTTATTTCATTGTTTCCCTTCTACGTGACGTTACCAAAAGAACCAAGAATATGAATCCCTGCAGTCATGAAAGCTTTAAATCTAAATTTTACCGAAAGAACCAAGAATATTAACTCCTATTAACTTATTTTCCAATAATCTGGATTACTTGCGGCTTATTTTCTTTACGTTTTTGGGGAATGGAAACCTATCAACCTTTGATGTTTTTTGTTTGCGGATAAAAGAAGTCTCGTGCTAAATACTTTCTAATAGACACGCAGACACCAAAACACGGAGACAGACACACACGAAAACACCAACAAATACATAGACACAAAAAACAGCTGGAGACACCCAGAGACGTGGATACACATAAAGACGCAAAGACACAGAGACACGGAGACATTCACAGAGGCACACACACAAATATACGGGGACAGAGAGAGAGAGATAGAGACGCAGACGTGGATTACTCAGATACTGTACAAAATATACACAGGGAGATAGGGACAAAGAAAGGCGAGGTACAAAGACGGAGATGAAGACACATACAGCACAGCCAGAAGCACTAAACACTTAAAATATACGTGGTTCAAGCCTGGACACCCACCCACTAGAGTTGTTTGTGTGTCCATACACTTGTGGTGAGCGGGAGTGTAGTGGTTAATGCGCAGCGCTACGAACCCGGCGACCCGCGTTCTATTCCCGCTCACTGCCAACACCACTGACGAATATCTGAACCGGTCCTGGGCCTCCCCTAGGTCGGCTGAGTCGACCTAAGGTTAGTTAGTTAGTACCTGGTGTATCACCGTCGTGTAAACATCGCCACTGGAGAGATAAAGGCGGCCGGGCGTGGTGCCGGTCACCCACCCTCCTCGCGTGCCGTGCAAAGCAGCCTGTTGAGGCTACAACGGGGCGATCTTTGTCTGTGCCCACACAAAAACACCCACACACGGTACCTGCGTGGGCCTTGACAATCCGCTTGACGTATTTTGTTTTCATGTTGAGAAACTTTTTTATTTTCCCGTCGTCGACAAAAAGGCGCGGCGCTCGCTTCGACACCAAGCACGCGTCTGGACCGCAGCTGTTGTCGTCACCCGCGATCACGTGGGCTGATTCCGTGACGTTCCAATCTTCTTCCCGCCCCCTGCAAGGCCACGCCCACCCCAACGCTCGCCCCTCCCAACGCCCCACCCCCTCCCCTTTCCCGCTCTTCCTGCTGCTGCCACTGTCCCGGATTTATTTTTTCGCACTTGCTGAGCACAGGGCCCCAAACAAATTACACAAACCCCGTAAATAGATAAGATATTACACGGATCAAGAAATTGAGAACGGTTATAAGAGCTTGCCTGTATCATGGGAATTTGTTTGCCGGTATCAAAGTATGCAAAAGAATAATGTTTATTGCTGTGGTTGTCCCACCTGCTGACCGGCGCTTGGTGTTGCGCCCGAAACGTCGCGATTTGATTTATTTTATTTTATACCTACGTGACTTTACCGAAAGAAGCAAAGAGTATGGATTCCCTGCAGTCACGAAAGCTTTAAATCTAGAATTGATAACTCCCCTTTGTGTAAAGCATCAAATAACATCAAAAGCAAATCACAGCGTGTTATTTGCAAAAGACAAAAAAACATATCCTGCACATCACACACCATTCTGCACACCAAACAGCACTGGGGTATTAATCATGCAATACTGCCATTTAACGCACATCATCTTCATAAGTTTGTCTCGTTTAGAAAGTTTATTGAGAAAGTGCGATGGTTTAAAGTGTTCACTTACAGGCAAGCCCTTGAAAAATAAGAGTCGGTTTTACCCTTTCCGGCAATACAACAGGTGTTGAGATGATCAAACACCAAATAGAAACCTTTTGCAAGGAAATAAGTCTGCATTAACCACACACAGTACTTGTAGTGAACATACAAACAAAGATGTTTTGATAATATATGTACTATTTTACAAACTAAGTTGCCTCTGTGGTAGGAGTTACATTGGAGAAACCAAACGACATGTCTCAGACCGCATTCGTGAACACAAAGCAGACGTTAAACACGGTAGGACCAACACCTCGGCCGTGGCAGATCACTGTTATAATTCAGTAGGTTCACATGACATTGACTTTTCCAAGACAGAGGTTCATTGTAAGCCATCTGGCTACCATGAGAGATTCGTTCATGAGGCTATCCACATATACAAACACAGAGACAATTTCAACCGAGAAGATGGATTCTGGCTTAGTAATCATTGGAAAGATTTGATAAACCATTTCAGGTCTTAATTGATTGTTCACACTTACAGTGGCTTTCAGACAGCATACATTAAATTTTTCGTCTCCCCCCTCCTCTTTTCAGAACATAGATGGACTAGTCCTAAACAAACTGTCAAATCGCTGCGCGTGGCGCTAACGGTTTTTTTTATAAATAAATAAACCGTTTTAAAATAAATAAATTAATGCGAACCGACACACCGTTTGTGTTGTGGTCGAAACGTCGTGAGAATTTTTATTGTTTTATATATTTTATTATTTTATTGTTTCCCTTCAACGTGACTTTACCGAAAGAGCTAAGGATATAATATATGTACTGTCTTTGATAGGTGTCCATTTGGTGTTTCAGAACGGGTAAAACATTCAATCTAGATTTGAAGCTTTCGTGACTGCAGGGAATCCATACTCTCTGCTTCTTTCGGTAAAGTCACGTGGTAGGTATAAAATAAAATAAATTAAATCACGACGTTTCGGGCGCAACACCAAGCGCCGGTCAGCAGGTGGGACAACCACAGCAATAAACATTATTCTTTTGCATACTTTGATACCGGCAAACAAATTCCCATGATACAGGCAAGCTCTTATAACCGTTCTCAATTCTAGATCCGTGTAATATCTTATCTATTTACGGGGTTTGTGTAATTTGTTTGGGGCCCTGTGCTCAGCAAGCGCGAAAAAATAAATCCGGGACAGTGGCAGCAGCAGGAAGAGCGGGAAAGGGGAGGGGGTGGGGCGTTGGGAGGGGCGAGCGTTGGGGTGGGCGTGGCCTTACAGGGGGCGGGAAGAAGATTGGAACGTCACGGAATCACCCCACGTGATCGCGGGTGACGACAACAGCTGCGGTCCAGACGCGTGCTTGGTGTCGAAGCGAGCGCCGAGCCTTTTTGTCGACGACGGGAAAATAAAAAAGTTTCTTAACATGAAAACAAAATACGTCAAGCGGATTGTCAAGGCCTACGCAGGTACCGTGTGTGGATGTTTTTTGTGTGGGCACAGACAAAGATCGCCCCGTTGTAGCCTCAACAGGCTGCTTTGCACGGCACGCGAGGAGGGTGGGTGACCAGCACCACGCCCGGCCGCCTTTATCTCTCCAGTGGCGATGTTTACACGACGATAATGCACCAGGTACTAACTAACTAACCTTAGGTCGACTCAGCCGACCTAGGGGAGGCCCAGGACCGGTTCAGATATTCGTCAGTGGTGTTGGCCGTGAGCGGGAATAGAACTCTTGTCGCCGGGTTCGTAGCGCTGCGCATTAACCGCTCCACTCCCGCTCCCGACAAGTGTATGGAGTCAGAACACACAAACAACTCTAGTGGGTGGGTGTCCAGGCTCGAACCACGTATATTTTAAGTGTTCAGTGCTTCTGTCTGTGCTGTACAGTGAGGGAAAAAAGTATTTGATCCCCTGCTGATTTTGTACGTTTGCCCACTGACAAAGAAATGATCAGTCTATCATTTTAATGGTAGGTTTATTTGAACAGTGAGAGACAGAATGACAACAAAATCCAGAAAAACGCATGTCAAAAATGTTATAAATTGATTTGCATTTTAATGAGGGAAATAAGTATTTGACTCCTCTGCAAAACATGACTTAATACTTGGTGGCAAAATCCTTGTTGGCAATCACAGAGGTCAGACGTTTCTTGTATTTGGCCACCAGGTTTGGACACATCTCAGGAGGTATTTTGTCCCACTCCTCTTTGCCGATCTTTTCCAAGTCATTAAGGTTTCGAGGCTGACGTTTCGCAACTCGAACCTTCAGCTCCCTCCACAGATTTTCTATGGGATTAAGGTCTGCAGACTGGCTAGTCCACTCCAGGACCTTAACGTGCTTCTTCTTGAGCCACTCCTTTGTTGCCTTGGCCGTGTGTTTTGGGTCATTGTCATGCTGGAATACCCATCCACGACCCATTTTCAATGCCCTGGCTGAGGGAAGGAGGTTCTCACCCAAGATTTGACGGTACATGGCCCCGTCCATCGTCCCTTTGATGCGGTGAAGTTGTCCTGTCCCCTTAGCAGAAAAACACCCCCAAAGCATAATGTTTCCACCTCCATGTTTCAAGGTGGGGATGGTGTTCTTGGGGTCATAGGCAGCATTCCTCCTCTAAACACGGCGAGTTAAGTTGATGCCAAAGAGCTCCATTTTGGTCTCATCTGACCACAACACTTTCACCCAGTTGTCCTCTGAATCATTCAGATGTTTATTGGCAAACTTCAGACGGGCATGTATATGTGCTTTCTTGAGCAGGGGGATCTTGCGGGCGCTGCAGGATTTCAGTCCTTCACGGCGTAGTGTGTTACCAATTGTTTTATTGGTGACTGGTCCCAGCTGCCTTGAGATCATTGACAAGATCCTCCCGTGTAGTTCTGGGCTGTTTCCTCACCGTTCTCATGGTCATTGCAACTCCACGAGGTGAGATCTTGCATGGAGCCCCAGGCCGAGGGAGATTGACAGTTCTTTTGTGTTTCTTCCATTTGCGAATAATCGCACCAACTGTTGTCACCTTCTCACCAAGCTGCTTGGCAATGGTCTTGTAGCCCATTCCAGCCTTGTGTAGGTCTACAATCTTGTCCCTGACATCCTTGGAGAGCTCTTTGGTCTTGGCCATGGTGGAGAGTTTGGAATCTGATTGATTGATTGCTTCTGTGGACAGGTGTCTTTTATAAGGTAACAAGCTGAGATTAGGAGCACTCCCTTTAAGAGTGTGCTCCTAATCTCAGCTCGTTACTGTATAAAAGACACCTGGGAGCCAGAAATCTTTCTGATTGAGAGGGGGTCAAATACTTATTTCCCTCATTAAAATGCAAATCAATTTATAACATTTTTGACATGCGTTTTTTTATTTTGTTGTTATTCAGTTTCTCACTGTTCAAATAAACCTACCATTAAAATTGTAGCCTGATCGTTTCTTTGTCAGTGTTCAAACGTACAAAATCAGCAGGGGATCAAATACTTTTTTCCCTCACTGTATGTGTCTCCATCTGCGTCTTTGTACCTCGCCTTTTTTTGTCCCTATCTCCCTGTGTATATTTTGTACAGTACCTGAGTAATCCACGTCTGCGTCTCTATGTCTCTCTCTGTCCCCGTATATTTGTGTGTGTGCCTCTGTGAATGTCTCCGTGTCTCTCTCTGTGTGTGTGTCTTTGCGTCTTTCTGTGTATCCGCATCTCTGGGTGTCTCCACCTGTTTTTTGTGTCTATGTACTTGTTGGTATTTTCGTGTGTGTCTGTCTCCATGTTTTGTTGTCTGTGTGTCTATTAGAAAGTATTTAGCACGATACTTCTCTTATCCGCAAAAAAACATCAAAGGTTTCCATTCCCCAAAAAACGTAAGGAAAATAAGCCTCAAGTAATCCAGATTATTGGAAGAATACGTTAATAGGAGTTGCTAATGATAGGGCCAAGGATAGCAGTTATCCTGTAGCAATTTGTATCTCTTTATCTACTGCTGGATGAGGACCACCGACATACACCTCGTGGGTTGTTTGATCGGAGTGGTTGCCCATCCCAGCTTTGTTTAGACCTAAGTCTGCCTATATTTTGACATGTGATGACATCGGGCGCGTTCCAAGTGATGTGTTCATGGGATTTGTGGATGATAACAGTGGATTTGTTGGTGTTATGGGTGATACATTGTTATTATTCGCCGATTGCCGATGTCATCTGGTCACATGACATCAAGTGCCATTAGCATGATGATGATACACAATTGTATTCCGCAGTGAAGTCAAAGTCAGGTATGGAGAGCCTCAGTAACCTCGAAGGTTGCAGGCTAGCGATGCACACGTGGTTTGCACGAAAATAAATGCTGCTTAATTCAGAAAATGGGCACTGCCTCAGTGCTCATTTAGCACGAAATCAG